TTTGGAGTTCTTAGTTTTGTGGAGGTATACTCACTGTGGCCTTCACGAAGACCTCGTGTTGGAATGCTAAGGAATTGAGTGTCGTTAGCAAAAATAAGCTCGATATTACTATGGAGTGAGCCATGTCCATCACCACTGTCGGAAATTGTGGGGGGATTTGAATGCGGTTAGGCCTGCAAGGGACTGAGAGAGGCAGCTTTTTTTTCTACGACACTACTTTGACGGGTGAAGTGCTTGTCAACCGATCCTAACGAGGCTAAAACTTGGCTGATTTGGGTGGGGTCCACTCCAACTCGGCTCCAGTTGCCACCGGTTCTACGTCCGGTGTGAAGTCCGTCAATTTTATTGGTTGGAGACGTGGATAGCTCTAAGACGGTACTGCTAGTCAATATTGTACGCACTTTCTGCGTTATATATTGCGCCGATTCCCTAAGCAAAATCGCGCGAACATCAGCTGTGATCAGAAATCAGCGATTCGCACTTGAGGATTAAGATCTCTAAGTGCGTTCAGCGGGACCATCATCGCTAATGGTAGCGGAATTCGGAACCTGATTCGGGAAGAAAGTGAGTGAATCTCGGGGCTACTTGATGAAATCCGCCGGGATTGCGGGACGGCTCCCAGCGATTCGAATCTGATCTTTACAATTTTCTTAGCGAACTTTTGTTGAAATTTCCGACATTTGGGTAGGAAACGTCCTTCCTCGTTCGTCTGAATGACTAAGAAATGCTTTCACAAATGAACTGCTGAGAATTTTTTCCTTTCGGATCTCAATATAACTGTACCTTAAAAAGTTTGAGGAATCATCTCTAGGAAGTACAACAATAATTTCATTTATTTATTTGATCGATGTTTCTGTACCGGACGCTTTTTGTTCGGAATTTTTATTTTTTGACTTTATTAAATTTATTTTTATTTTTATTATGACCATTATTTGTCATTATTTTAATTTGTTTTCAATTTATTAAAATTGTGCCTATCGTTAGCAAATTTGTCATCCTCAAGAGCCTGGAGGAATTTTGAAACTTCAAAAATCACCTGTGCTGGCTTGGTCATTCAGTTTTTCAGTAGATTGTCTCATCTCATCTGTTCAACTTAACTTACTTCTTCTACTTCTGCCACTTCTCGGCCGCGTTCCTCTTTACGCTGATTTTTCTCTTATTAACCCCAATTTCCGGTTCCGTGCAATATTCGCGGCTTGAGGTGTCATTTCATCTAAAGACAATAACGGCGATATTATGAAAGAAAGATGGAGACGTGAAGAGGGAGAGCGAGGCCAGCGTGGACGAGATGTGGTGCTTAGCGGCAGAAACCGTCCACAACAAACCGTTCTGCTAAAAAGTAACCAGCGGAAGTTAGCTCTACCGTACTCTGGACGCGTTGCGTGGTTTTTCAAGCCAACCCATTTTGGGATCTTACTAACTTCAGCTTTCGCTTCAACATATGGATAGATGACTCTTCTTGTATGTTCACTGAAAAGTACCACAACGGAGTCGATCTCTAGTCGTATTCGGACATAGAATCCCTATACCTGACTATGGCTAATTCAACAGGATTTAATGGCACATCCCACGATGAATTTGGTGTGATTCTTGCACACGAAAATCAAAGCATATGTAAGAAGTAGACCTGCACCTTGGAGAAAAACAAAGAAAAACACCTTGAAAACGTTAAATTAAAGAATTCGTCATCCTTGTTACCAGATGTTTTGAGGCGATGGGACGCTGAGCATGGATAGTAGAGTATAGGCGATAGAGCATAAAGATATGATGGCGCATGCATTCTTATGCTGCGAGCGAGGAAAATCGAGGGGGGGGGTGAAGGGGTCTAAGCGTTCTACAGCTCTATCTAATCCACCAAGAGGAATGGCCTTGAAAGCAATACCATCTCTATCCGCGAAATAAGGCCCTCCTCCCAATAATCACTAATTCTTAGTCTGCATGGCTATGCAAACGATTGATCCCGCTCCAAAACGCTACCAGAAATCTATAGTTATTCGTTGAGGAAGAACAAATTGTTCACATAAGTTTTCGCTAACTCCTTTTGCAAAGGGTGGTTGATGCAATCTGAATCGCCTTCAGATGTCTCGATGGCAGATTACAATGCTGATAGTGTGCAGCATAGTACAGGTTGTTCTCGGATGTGCTGCAACATCTCCTGGCACAACGCCAACGACTATCAGTCCGATAAGAACTACCATCACCACTACGAGGGCTCCGACTACCACTGCCATCAGAACTACCACTAGAACCACGACGACCACGACAGCAGCCATCGCACGTTGGTTTAGCTTTACTGTACTGTACTGTAAAACGTAAACGTTATACGAATTATGATTATGATTTATTATCGGTATTGATACAATCATACAAAACAGAACATAATTAATAACAGGTAACCGATAGAGCAAGCGAAGAGAGAAAAAAATTGAATAAAATCGAGACTCAAAATGGCTCAGAAGGGGTGGAGAAGGGAAAGGGAGGAGGTGGGACGCTTGGCTTCGAAGAGCAGTGGCCCGCCAACACTGCAAGTCGCAAGGGTGATATGCGGCTCCGGATACGCTTAGTAGGTCCGTCAACGTCTGCCAAGGTCCACCTGATGATGACGGGGTTAAATAATTGAAAAAAAAAAGGTTCAACACTCTGTTTCTCGCGACCTAGCTTGCCTCTTTGCGATCCTAGTAACGCGCGTGGATGAAAGTTTGCATTAGAAGCATCAAAAATGAACTCGGAATCGTTTTTTTTTTGAAGTCATCATCACGGGTGTTGCTAGGTCTGCACTTACGACATGGCTAGTTGCGGTAAACTCCCAGGGGTACTCGTAGGTGCGTCAGTTACAAATAGCTAATGTATTTTTCACTTTCAGTCGCCTGTCAAAGTTGTACATTATCACAAATATCTTTTGACGCTTCAAATGGTGATCCAGGCCGAATTGACGCAGACTTCGCTAAGTTTATTACTAAAGGCAGCATACGATGTTGAGAGGCCTAAGTCGCGCTCGGAAGCCGATTTGAATTCAAAGCGTCTATACTTCGTTTAAAATGTCACTCTAATTTGAAATACTGATGAACTGTCTACCCAGTGGCTTTTCAGAGTGGAGCCCAATGACCCACAGACGGACTGCTTACGTTTGACGGCGATTTGTGCCGCTCAAGCAGGATTCGCATCTTTCATGGAATTCAACATCAATCAAGGTGGTCCCGAAGAGAATCAGAAACTTCGTATCCAGGTAGTGCCATTTGTATATTATTTCATTATAATGTTGACGTCCACGCATTGGGTACTCTTGGATAAGCGCCGCACCTATCGTTTTTTTGATTGTGAAGCTGTTGTGCTAGCGCTTGACTTGCCGGTGTATTGTGACACCCAAGTCAGATGGCTTTATTCCTATCGCTCAACTCAAGACCTTTGAGCCTTTGGGTTTTTTACAAAAAAGCTATCGGCATAAACGACCCTAGAGTAGAGCTAATGACAATTTTTGGCATTAATGCTAAAGTAAAATTGGCGCCTGCAGGGCTGGGAGGCAGGCATCGACGCCTGGCCAAACGAGCTTTTCTTCTCCCTTCATAGGTCGGGTGTTCGGCATCGTCTCTAAGATATGCAATTAAAATTGCAATTTTGAATAAAATTTGTATTTAACTTGTTTATTTTTTATTTATTATTTATTTATATTTATGTTTATATCTGAACCATGTTTATATGTTGTATTGTAGTATTTAATATTTTTTATTTATATTGTTTGTTATACTACATTTATAGTTGTTTATATTCTTTTGTATTTGTGATTTATATTATATTTATCTTTCATGTATCATAATTTATCTTTATATTTATATTTATTTTATATTATCTTCTATTCATATTCATAATCATATCATATTATATTTATATTTATACTCATTTTTTATTTTTATTTTCCTTTTATTTTTCAGTTTATTTATTTTGTATTTAACATTCACATTTATTGGAGAGTCAGTCAACTTAACGTTATTAAATTTTGATTTTTTTTATTTTTCTTCCGATTTTTCGATTTTTGGCCCGTTCTAGGTTCTTGAAGTCCCTCTGGAGTGCGTCGATGGTGCATGGTACTACCGAACGAGTACAATTCAGCAAGTGAACTCTGTCCAGTGCACTGAGTTTAACGCTGGCTAATCACCTCGGAAATGCCCTCCATCATCTCATCTACCTAATAATTCATCTTTCTTTGTATTTCATGAAAACCATTCATTACATGCTCGACTGACCTACATATTTGTTTTATAAGTCAGTTCACTGTGCTTTCACATCATGCGAAATTTCTGTTCAGTTTCTCTGTGACCTCTATTGCCTTCACCTTCGACTCCTGGTCGTTTCATTTTCAAAATAGTACGAAGATTTGTCAAATTTTCAAAAGGATTGTCAGATCGATTGCGTGGGCGGAGCCTCAGAGACATTGCGCCGTTCCTATTGGTGGGAAATGAACGGCAATAGACAAATAACCAAGGTGGGGTGCGTAACGGTCTTACTTAACCCATCCAAATGCTCTTGTTATCCACTGTCCTCAGTCAGATTGCAATATGATATGAGTATTGATGACTAGATAACATTGAGTTATGCCGTATGTCCATACCATATGACTGTTATACTTGTTACTATTGCTATTTATTATTTGTAATATGTACATAGAACCAATAAATCTGGCATTAGATGTAGCAAGATTGCAGATAATCCTTTAGTAACTGGGTCAATCCTTTAGTTTGGGTCTGTTGCTTGATTTCAGAACTCTTTAGGTTGAGTCTATTTTGGTGCTGAAACGCATCTGAGCGAAGTACAAAAGATTGTGGAAACTCACGTCGATGTAGTAACTTGTGCTCAATATAAATGTTGCTCTTTTCGATAAGTGAAATGCTAGGAAGGTTAGGGTAAGTGCAGAGATTTTATGATTTCAATGAAAATTCGACTCCTATTCGATCACATGCGGAGAGGGCGAGTTCGGTACGGCTGAGTAACGGAGTTTACTATCAGCTTTATTAAGGTAGAGGTGATCAGTGTGGTCAGCGGTGCTGGGATGAAGGAAATACCATGAGAAATGACAACCTTATCAGTGCTGTCACTATCAACGCTAACGCTCTCTCTGCTAACGGCTAGAGACTGCGGCGAGTGGTTAGCCAGTCGGTGGGCGTGCCGCGTCGATAGCGCCGCGGGGACGGCCATGCTAGATCGCCGGGGATATCCTTCGCTGCGAATTGCGTGTCGGTTCGCACCCTTAAGAAATCCTCCTGTCCTCCCCTAGGTAAGTTTCCTTTCTTGGCCCTCGTCCTTATCGTGGAATCCTCTTCTAAATATGACTTCTCCATTCTTCAACACCCACAAGAGGCTTAGAAAGATGTTTGTCTCTTAAACTTCTATAGAACGCCGAAGGATTAAGGATAAAGCAAGCAGCATTGCTCGATCCTCTTTAGAGCCAAGCATTCCTCTTCCACTCGAAATTGTTGTGTCAGATCGGGTGCGGCCAAGCCTATACAGTGAGTTCTGGAGCCAGCCTATGTACAAGTCGGTGGTTTCATCCTCCCAGACAGGTTTTGCAACAATTTGGCCACCCTACAGCCAGGTAAGGCACAGCTTACCTAGGCGAACAATCTAGGATTTCATCTCCGGTCAGAGAGCATAAGCGACGCCTGACTGGCTGAGGCTCTGAACTGTATCCAGCCGTTGAACTCCTCACATTTGTGAGTCATAGGACTCACAGAGGAAAGGGAAGAACATAAGAAAGTGGTTTGCAATGATTGTCTGCTTGTTGCCATCTGTTTCAGTTTGATGGTAGGATGTCATTCCACTCCTCCGGTGTAGCCCTTTAAACGGCACAGTGATACCTTGAAGGATCCTGCTTAGCTAAATGCTGGTTCATGTTGATCTCTAAAATTGCTCAAAACATTTCTTCCCTAGAACTGATAAAAATGCAACTTCCAGAAAGAATAGCACTATCACAGCAATGGGTCGTCTCCCTGCCCTCTGATGGCCGATATCCATCTAGGTCAACTAATTAAGAGAGCAATATCAAAGAGAAAACTAAACGGAAAAATATGATCCGTTTTTCATTACTGCGGTGTCGATTGATGCCAGACTGGCAGGCTGGGACAGCTGAACTGTTTCAGTGATGAGGGACTGTAAAGAAAACTTGTCCGTACAATTCCTAGCCTTTTTGATGACAAGCGGCCAGTTTTTGTGGGCCGTCTAGTTCTCCATCAGCGGATCATTAAAATGCCTTGTGTGGACTCGTCTGAAGCTTGATTTCCTTTCATGTCTGAAAAAGGTTGTCATCTACGGGAATCTTCTCCCTCACCCTGGCCATTGCTTATCCAGATTCGACGAATCTCGTCGACCCTGAGGACATTCGAGAGAACAAAGACTCCGTTGGGTACATGACTTTCATCGAGCAGTAACATCCAGTCGTAATTAAGTGTGGTGCCGTTAGGTGACACAGCTGGACTGCTTTCAAATCTTTCTCGCTGACGATGTGGGAGCATCGTTGAGTGGCTGCCGGAAGACGGGGGACCACTTTCGCTAATGGGGTCGAGAATGTGACTTTTATCGAGATGAAAGTGAATGACGATATTAGGCGAAGAGAAACTTTGTCGGCTCTTCTTGTTCGTTTTGCTAGCCAGTTTGCACCAGATCTTGAGCCGTAGTCCTTTCAATATTTGCAAAACATCCTACTTTAACACATTGCGGACCGCCCTTGTTTGAGCACCTTCGTGCCTTTATATTTTTCAAAAGCGAGTTATCATTTGTCTATCAATAAGTCTATCAGTGATGACACCTGTAGTTTCCTGACTCCGAAAATGAGTCAGAAACAGTCCAGAAACATAAAAATGAC